ACCCCATCCCTATTCTGACCCATGGGAAGCTGTTGGAAAGAGCAGTAAAGCCCTTTAAGGGCCCAGTCCTGCTCCCAATGACGAGTGCCGGAACAGCCACTGAGTTGAGAGGTTGAGGCTCAGGCCCCAAGGAGAAGGCGGCGCCATTCCACAGTGAGTCTCATCTGGTCTCCTCATCTAGAGAATAGGACTGTAGGGCCAGGGCTTATGAGATGCTCTTGCAAATTCACTCTGGAGCTGGGGGTGGGAAATGAAATCTCAGCACTGACCCCTGGGGGTGAGAATGTGCAGCACTGCACCTGTTCCCACTGATGGGGGGGGGGGGTGGCATTCCTTAGGACTGTCAGCTCTACTCTGGTGTGGCAGGGGGGGGGGGGATTATCCCACAAACTCCCTGTCCTGTCGGAGAAGGTGTGAGGAGCTCCCATTCTTGGCAGACCGCTAACAGAAAGCAGCTGATCTAGCCGTCTTAGGTACATAAGGCCCCTGTCACCAGCATATCACAATGTGAAGCATATCAAGGCTTTCTTCTGCAGAAAGGGAAACTGAGGCACAGAGAGACTATGTGGCTTACCCAAGGTCACCTGTGGAGGAGCAAGGACTTGTACGTAGGCCCCCGAAATCCTAGGCTAATAGTGCCCTAACTGGAGCATCCTTCCACTCCACTGGTGAGGGTACTGAAAACCTGGATTTGATTCCCTGCTCTGCTCCTGACTTCTTGTATGACCTTGTCACTTACACCCAGATTCTCAAAAGGATTTAGGTGCCTAAGGTCAATGGGAATTGGGAGCCTAGCCATCTTTGCGGATCCTGGCCTTTGCCTCGCTGTGCCTCAGTTCCCCGACTGCAGAATGGGGATAGTAGCACAGGCAGGTGTACTGGGGATAAGCAGCTTATAGACTGTGGGGGGTGGGGGGGGTCCCAAGCTGATGGCAATGGGAGGTCAGCTCTCTAAGACCGCAAAGAGGATCTCTCTGCACGTGTGTCTGGATGGGTTAAGGCCTGTAGGACAGTGTAGAAACCCTGTTGCCATTTCTACCAGGTGGAGAGCCACCCCGCCCCCAACCCCCTACCCTGAGTACAGGGGAATGGCAAGGCACAGCGTGGTTTCTCACTGCGCTCGTCCCAGGAAAATCAGCCCACTGGCCAAATAGCATCCCGCCTCTTTCATCTGTTGGTTTAAAAGCATTCTTTAAATATATATCCAGGCCGGGGGCGAGAATCACCTCGCTTTCCTGGCTGTGTCTGTCTGCACTGGGGGGATGGGAGGGCCGGACTCCTTTTCATAGAATCATAGAATAATAGGACTGGAAGGGACCTCGAGAGGTCATCGAGTCCAGCCCCCCGCCCTCAAGGCAGGATCAAGCTCCGTCTACACCATCCCTGACAGATGTCTATCTAACCTGTTCTTAAATATCTCCAGAGAGGGAGATTCCACCACCTCCCTTGGCAATTTATTCCAATATTTGACCACCCTGACAGTTAGGAATTTTTTCCTAATGTCCAATCTAAACCTCCCCTGCTGCACTTTAAGCCCATTACTCCTTGTCCTGTCCTCAGAAACCAAGAGGAACAAATTTTCTCCTTCCTCCTTGTGACACCCTTTTAGATATTTGAAAACCGCTATCATGTCCCCCCTTAATCTTCTTTTTTCCAAACTAAACAAGCCCAGTTCATGAAGCCTGGCTTCATAGGTCATGTTCTCTAAACCTTTAATCATTCTTGTCGCTCTTCTCTGTACCCTTTCCAATTTCTCCACATCTTTCTTGAAATGTGGCACCCAGAACTGGACACAGTACTCATTTGAGGCCTAACTAGTGCAGAGTAGAGCGGCAGAATGACTTCACGAGTTTTGCTTACCACACACCTGTTGATACAACCTAGAATCATATTTGCTTTTTTTGCAACAGCATCACACTGTTGACTCATATTCACCTTGTGGTCCACTATGACCCCTAGATCCCTTTCCGCTATGCTCCTTCTTAGATAGTCGCTTCCCATCTTGTATGTATGGAACTGATTGTTCCTTCCTAAGTGGAGCACTTTGCATTTCTCTTTATTAAACCTCATCCTGTTTACCTCTGACCATTTCTCTAACTTGCTAAGGTCATTTTGAATTATGTCCCTATCCTCCAAAGAAGTCGCAACCCCACCCAGTTTGGTATCATCTGCAAACTTCATTTCATTGCATGCGTCTGTTCTCGGCATGGGTTTGGGTTTGTGTATTTGAAAGGGAAGCTGAGGCTGCTGGAAAGTACCAAGGCCACAGCCCCGAGGAGGGAAATTCACCCAACACAGCATGCAGCCGGAGTGGCACAATCCTTCCTTGCTCCCAGCTGCTCCACCGACCGGCCTCAAGCCAGATCCAACAAAAGTAGATTCAGCTTCACTAGCTCTATACTGATACCAGTCCTGATACTGCCACCAGAGCCGGGTGTGAACCTCTTTCTGCTGGGCCTTCCACTCTCACACCAGTATGGGGACCTCGCAAAGGCCCCCAAAGAGACAGCAGATGGCAGCAGGTCTCTTCCTCTCTCTGGTGCACCTGTGCTAAGTGCTGCATTTGGGTTTGAGTCCCTTGACTTTTCTGGGAGCCCTTTTCTTCCACAGTGACATGGATCAGGGACAGGAAAAACACCCACTGGTTCTTCTGGGGAAACTTTGAAAGCTACCCAGCTGTGCTCTCTTTTTAACCCACTTTTTACATGGCTGGGGGGATCTGGCTCAAATCAGGCCTTTGCTTGACAAAGCTTCAGTTTCTCTGGCAGGTTTCTCCACACCTGAAGCAAGAGGGCCTGATCCTGCATCCAAACACGGACCTGGCCTCCCCATGAGTTGTCGTAGCAATTCCGATGGCTCCCAGCAGTGACTTACCATGGCCTCACAAAGTGTCTCCAATAAAACCCTGTTGAGTTGATTTAAAATTCCAGCTGGGTGCTTGAAATTGTGGCATGTGCCGACGCTGGAGCCAATACGCCCTGGCGTTTATCAAAGCAGAGCTACCGTCCTGAATGGAGAATGACAACAGACTGGACTTGTCGTAGCAATTCCGATGGCTCCCAGCAGTGACTTACCATGGCCTCACAAAGTGTCTCCAATAAAACCCTGTTGAGTTGATTTAAAATTCCAGCTGGGTGCTTGAAATTGTGGCATGTGCCGACGCTGGAGCCAATACGCCCTGGCGTTTATCAAAGCAGAGCTACCGTCCTGAATGGAGAATGACAACAGACTGGACACGATCA